GCCGGGCTCGGTCCCGTCGGAGTAGCCTTTTGCGGGCCGCCGCTGCTGCTACGTGGACAGCTCGCGGGACGGCCCTCCGTCCCTGGCATTTCCCCCCCCCCGCCTTCTCCTCACCCGGCAGCAGCAAGATAGACTGCTCCGGAAGAAGGAGGCTCGCCCTGCAAAGCCCGACGACCTGCCCGCTGACTGGAAACGGCTCTGCACCCGCCCAAGAATCCTGCATATCGTTTCCAAGACTCGCCCACCTTTTTGAGCTGCGGGCTTGGTCAGCCCGCTTCCCTCGGGAGCAGTTTGCCTCCGCCACCCACCCTACCGAAGCCAAGGAAAACAAGCCAGTCTGCAGAGTGCCACAAGACTCCTCGTTGCTTTGGCTACCCCCCCCCCCAGCCAACACCGCTCCCAAACGCCCACGGTTGCCCTGGAGAGGTTGAGGGAAGGGGTATTCTGCACATGCTCAGGAACCCTGGGCTGGACAGCGATGCTTCGCGCGGCCGGTGACTTTTAAGGCATGTCTTGGAGGGAGGCAAAACACATGCACAAACCCAGGCTGGCGGTGGAAGAGTTAAACAGGACGGATCGTATTGCTTCTAATTGCAATTTTCCTTCCAGGTTGTGGCCCCGATTTTGAGGGGGATTGGGGCCCTGTGGCTCTTCGCCCCTGGACTACCACTCCCATTCTTCCGTACAGCCTGGGGAGTTCCGAGTAGTAGTCGTCGTTGTCGTCCAAAACACACACAAAGACACACACACAGACACACAAACACATTTAAGGCCAATAAGGAGAGGATGATGGCTCTTTCCCGCCTCGCAAAGGGTTAAATAATGCACGATTAATGCAGCATTATAAAGTGGCACTGAGCCATTTTTAACGGTATCAATAGTCTTCTGAAATGTAGGTGTTTGGTCGACCCTTTTTTCTCTGCAGAGATACCCTTCTTCTACCCTTCTAGGGGAAAAATATTCCGGTCCCTCAGAGATGACTCTCAGAGTTTGGGTTGAGAAATACAGGATCTGAAATTCCACCACCACCCCCCAGTCCTGTGGGAGAATGGCTTCCCTGAAACTCTAAAAAAGGGGAAGAACGCAAACTTCAACACAAAAGCTGTAGATTTTTGCAACACTCTTAGACAGTGCAGGAAATTCAAAGTTTGTTCCAGAAACGCAGGGTTTGCTTCCAAAAGGCAAGCTATTTTCTCTGGCTTGTTCCTTCTCGTCCTGCGATACCCACAGAAAACACTGGCCACGGATTTCTCTTTCCGTGCCCATAACGACTTGTGTAGTCAGGCGAACATCCACGGACATTTGGGAACACCAGTTCTGTGGATGTGGTCCTGGATTCTTCTTCAGTGTTGCAATACAAATCAGACATGTGACATGGATCCCTCATTTCTGCTAATGCGTGCAATGCTATCGCAATAGCCTGACGGAGTCCTGGCCTCCTGGCCCTTAAGTGTCCCAGAACGTCAAAACACTGGAGGTCTCCGTACCGCACAGAGCAAGGGTTTAAGGTAGGCAAAGTCCCTTCATTCTGGATTCTCGTAATGGGTGATGCTCTGAAGCTGCCCTCGGAGACATTTGAAGTCTGGCCTTCTATCAGGATTCAGGTCCCAGCATTTACACATGAGACCGTAGAGAGTGGCTGGGCATTTGGGAGGGCAGAGCATCTTGAAACCCCTCTGGACTTCGTGGAAAACTTCACTGTTGGTCATACCTGCAAAAGGAGGGGAGAACACTATGGTTTATAACAAAAGTGGGCACACAACGATTACGGCATTTAAAACCAGTCAGTTTGACCAGATGTTGGCATAGCTGTCTGAACACATACAGAGGTGCCTCGCTTAATGATATTAATTCATTCCAGCAAAATCACTGTAGAGCGAAAACATCGTAAAGCGAAATAAAAAAGCCCATTGAAACGCATTAAACCCCGGTTAATGCGTTCCAATGGGCTGAAAACTCACCGTCCAAGAGGCAGGGACCTTTGGATTTCCAAATGTTTCCTCATGTTCCTGACCCTTGTTGATTGGGACTAGTCTGAGGATGTGATCAGCAAGTGGGAGAGGCACATATCTGATTGCAATCTTCCTTAGAGCAACCCTTCCCTCTGCAGGCAATGGCCTCGGCGTGGCCCTCAAAAGTAATAGCCCTACAGCTGGACCAAAAAGGTATGGCTTGGGCCCAAATTGATTCAGGCTGGAGCACAATTCCCAGTACAGTATGTGATCACTGGGAAACAGATTGCTCTGAACTGGCCCACAAGCAGCCCAATATGTGATCTATTTCCTTGTGTAATTGCACCCTCGTTCAAAGCATATTCTGGAGCCCCTTATTTGTTGCCATGATTCCTAATGGGGACTGATGTATGGGATCAGCCTTCTGTAATTCATTACTCCTGATAAGAAGTGGTAGACTTCATAATTTAGGTATATTTCTCTTTGTTTGTTTACCACATTTTGCAGATTGACGAATCAGTCCAACAACAGATGGAGCTGCAGACCTGAACCACCAGAACATGAGAAAATATGCAACAAAATAGCTGAATCCTGATTTGAACTTCATGAGTCATGAATTTTTAAGTCTGAATCATTAAGTTCGCATCAGGATAAAACAGTAAACCTCAAATAACCTCTTGAGTTCTGAATTCAGCTAGAATTTACACAGATATGGTAAAAAAATTGAGCTGGTATAATTTATACCAGCATTTAGAGGAGATAGGATATGAGGTATACAAGTATAAATAACTTAATGTAGACACTACAATTTCAACCAGTGCATGCTGGAGATATAAGGTAAAGATAAAGGTAAAGGTCCTCCTTGACAATTTGTCCAGTCGTATCAGACTCTAGGGGGCAGTGCTTATATCCGTTTCTAACCCATAGAGCCAGCGTTTGTCCGAAGACAATCTTCCGTGGTCACGTGGCCAGCGCAACTAGACACGGAACGCCGTTACCTTCCCACCGTGGTGGTACCTATTTATCTACTTGCATTTTGCATGCTTCCAAACCGCTAGGTTGGCAGGAGCTAGGACAAGCGACAGGGGCTCACTCCGTTATGTGGATTCAATCTTACGATTGCAGGTCTTCTGACCTTGCAGCACAGAGGCTTCGGCGGTTTAACCCGCAGCGCCACCACGTCCCTATTGCTTGTTAGCTGTGTAATAAATCCTTGTGGACCATCTGCAGTACTATTTACCCGCTCAGAATTTCCATTATGATCTATAATGCAATTATTTATTTTATTTATATGCAGCTTCCCCCCACCTTCCTCAAGATGGTTAACAAAAAATTCAAACGGTCTAAGCCACAAATAAATTGCCTTTGAAGACCTCCGATTAAAAACAACAACACACCCCCTCAAATGTTACAAATTTTGGACGACATCCTTCGTATCCCTTCCTTTCTCTATGGCAAGCAAACGAAGAATATGTTAGAAAAACTATCTTTAAAATGCAAAGCAAGATCTTCAAAACACATGAACCAATGCACTATTTATCCTTAGAGTGAACCATAGACATCAGCATCTCTAGACGTCAAATTATGCATTACCTTTGTGCAGAATTCCTTTTAGTGTGCAGAACCCAACTTTTAATTAATCTGCCTGGCTAAAATTGGGATGACTGCTGATGTCTGACATACACCCGGAAACTTGTGCAATATTTTGGGCTACCTCTGCCAACTTCCACACTCTTCCCCCATTTCAAGGCCGGCTGCCCTTTGTTGCAGGCAGGTGTGAACATACCTTGACAAGCCTGGCCATTCCAAAGTCTCCAACCTTGCAGAAGTTGTTGTCTCCCACGAGGATGTTCCTGGCAGCCAGATCCCGATGGATGAAATTTTGCGACTCTAGGTAGCACATCCCGTCTGCCACTTGGGAGGCCATGTCTATCATCTCTGTCATCTGGAGATGTTCTCCTTTGGGTCCTGAAATGAAGTACGGTGCAACGCTATGTCTACTGCTGGACCAACTGAGTGGCTTAGGCACGTGGCTTTGGGGCCAAAAGTTGGGAGTTCGATTCCCCCACTGTGCCTCCTTCTCAAGAGGCTAGGCTCAGTGCTTCCTACCAGCTATACAGTTCTAAGATTATTAAGAACATTCTTCTGTCGCCCCCAGTCTTTACTAAAAGTCACTCCCTTTCATTGTGACAAATACAAGAACTGTTGACTCTATGCATAGACCTGAACCTATATATAGAACATCAGATTGGCATTACATAGCGTAGGATCTATTTGCACAGACTTTCATTCTAGGGAGTCTACATACAAACTAATAGATTGACTCTACAGAAGCCTATAGACTCTAAAAATCAATTCTACATATAGACTGTACGTTCATCAGAGACTACATACGCTAAAGTTTCTGGTCAAAGGTGCAAAGATCTGTGTTTTTGGACTACAACTCCCAGATCTTCCCAGGCATCATAGCTCCAGGCTGTGGTTATGTAGACCAGATTCTACATGTAGACCAACACAGCCATATTGGCTAGGAGATTCCGGGGATAGCAATACAAGAAATAACTCTAACTTTTCCAAACTCAGATTGGGGCCCAGATTGCCTGTGATTGCCCTCTATTTTAAGAGATGAGCCATAAATTCAAAAGTGCTAGCTGAAGAGGAGCATGAAACCAGCATGCAGGTTGCAGTTATTTCCATCTAAGAAAGTAACCTGGCTTCTACACCATCATCTGTGCGAATCTGGGACATTAATAACAGCACATAAGTTTGGAACTACCAACAAGAACTCTGTGCACAGCCTTGAAGAAGATGATTTATCATCAAGTCGCACTGAAGAACGCCGACAACTTGGAGAGCCTCATCAATGAATAAAACCAACCAGCAAAAAGGTCCCACCTCGGAGAAGTTCAAGGAGGCTCCCTTTGCTCATAAACTCTGTGACGATGTAAACGGGATCCTCAAGGGAGGAGATGGCGTAGAGGGACAGGATGTGCTTGTGCCTCAGCTTCTTCATAGCTTCGATTTCATTTCTGAATGTGTCCTGATGCGTCACGTCAACTATGGGGTGAGGTGGGAAAAGACACCATGTAGGAAGGTAAACCATGTTGGATTTACCCAGCATGTTGGGTAAAAGGAAAGATCTTAATGACCGAAAAACTAGCTGGAGAAAGAGAAGTAGGTAGGGCACTACATGCAGAGAAAAAAGAGTTTGGGCGAAGAAGAGGAGGAAGTGAAGTCACCTCAGGTAGAATCCTGTTAATATACAGTACAGTGGTGCCTCACAAGACGAATGCCTCACGGGACGAAAAACCCGCAAGACAAATGGTTTTTGCAATCGCTATGGTGCCTCGCAAGATGGCTTCTTCTATGGCCGTGCTTCGCACGACGATTTTTTCCCCCAAGACCGATGCCTCGCAAGATGAAAAAATTGCATTCGTCTTGCAAGGTTCCCACAGGAATGTACTTCAATGCATTCCTATGGGAAACTGCTTTTCGCAAGATGATTTTTTCACAAGACAGCGCTACTCGCAGAACGAATTACATTCGTCTTGCGAGGCACCACTGTATATGATTGCATAAGGGCAGTTTGTGTAAGTGCGTGTCCTCTTAAGGCTCTCTTTCACATGAGTAAGCAAGTTCTGATTACAGCATCAGTCGCTCAAATGATTGCGTTGAAGGAAAGCCTGAGGAGAAAATGCTCCACAGCTTCTCATGTAGGCACATAAAATGAGGAAAGGATTTGGGTCCCTGAGAACAGCAATTTATAGTCAAGGAAAAGGCAGAACACACAAGGCTGAGACACAGATGCCCTGGCTGGGCCTTAATCTCTGTCTCTCACTCAAGTCTCTCTCCCCCCCCCCCAAGGCATATCGTCCCAAAACTGGGGTAGGGAACATCTGGTAACTCTCTACTTCCAATGTTCTTGTGTGACCCCTAGCCTTGAGAAAAGAAGACTGAGGGGAGATAAAAGATCATCATAAAGAGGAAGGGCAGGATCCGTTCTCAATCATCCCCGGGGGGGGGGAACATGTAATAATGGGCTAAAGTTACAGAAGGCCAGATTTTGGCTGACTATCAGGAAAAACTTCCTAAATGTTAGAGCAGTATGACAACGGAACCAACTATCTTGGGAGGTGGTGAGCGCTCCACCACGGGAGGCATTAAAGAGAAAGTTAAACAGCCATCTGTCAGATTGGCTTTGATTTGCATCCTATTCTATAATTCTAAGTCTAGAAAAGAGTAACAAATCAAGCAATGCATATACTCAATAGGGCATGGGTACTGATGGCCAGAATCCTTTTATTTGCATAGGATGGCAGAAGTCAAATAATAAAAATCTCAACAGCAAATTGCTGCTAGATCTGCCGTGGATGCCTGTTGCTTACCAGTCGTATGTCTTGGCACACGAACAGAACTATCAGCTCCTTAACTAACAACCGTTGATGGTGCAGATGTACACTGTAACATCTGGCTTATGATAATTGGTATATTTTAAGTCATAAGCTGTTGGCTGTTGTTTGGCTTTCTGGTTTCAGATTTGCTCACCTTTCCGGTGAGTAGGGTGTGTGTGTGTGTGTGTGTGTGTGTGGAAGAGTTATAGTGTGCCAAGACGTTCACTAGGCCAGCTGAAGCAATGGCTATACTTTCACACCCTATTTCTGAGGTGTGGCTCATGAGCTTTGACTGGAATTTCCAGTTCCCTCTTCAAGGGAAGAAAGGAGGGTGGAGAAACTGAAGCAAGACGGCTGTCATATATGCTGGTTGACTTCCATGCCCGTGAAATCAGGAGCAGCAAACAGGCTAGTAGGCAATGTAAGGCACTTGCCAGGAACCGAGAAATATCACTCTGATTGCTGAGTCACTAGAAACGTGCAAACCCACACTTTGATGAGTCACATTTCTAACGAAGTTACAGAAGGGAGAAACTGGGGAAGAATTTATCCCCTGGGACTAGCCCACTCTCAGAGTTTGCTTGCTATGTCTTGTCTCCTCCAGGTATTAGTTAAATAAGAACATCAGAGGAGATCTGCTGGATCAGGCCGAGGGCCCCTCTAGTCCAGCTTCCTGTATCTCACTAGTGGCCCCTCCAGATGCCTCTGGGAGCACACGAGACCACGAGAGACCTGTCTCCTGATTCCCCCTCCCCTGCATTTGGCATTTTGAAGTATCTTCTTTTTAAGCCTGCAGATTATACATCCCCATCATGGCTTGTAACCTGTGATGGGCTTTTCCTCCAGGAATTTGTCCAAACCCCTTTTAATGGCATCTAGACCAGCTGCCATCACTACATACTGTGGCAAGGAGTTCCACAAACCAACAAGATGCTGGGTAAAGACATAAGCTTTCTTGTTTTTATTGCAGCTGCAGAGAGGAAAAGGAGAAGAAGCACAAAAGAGGAAGGAGGGAGTAGAGAGAGGTTGCAGATGCCCGGAACCCATGATATTTTAAGCAGGAAGGTGTTAGCAACCTGAATCACCTTGAATTTGGGGCTTTCATGGCAGTTGAGGAAAATAAGCTTCCCTTGGCAATCGTTAAGAGAAGGCACCCAGTTCAAGGTCTTACACCTGTCGTGCAAGTATATTTTTAGAAGGATCAGGAAGCAGGTGATAGAGAGAGGTTGCAGATGCCCGGAACCCATGATATTTTAAGCAGGAAGGTGTTAGCAACCTGAATCACCTTGAATTTGGGGCTTTCATGGCAGTTGAGGAAAATAAGCTTCCCTTGGCAATCGTTAAGAGAAGGCACCCAGTTCAAGGTCTTACACCTGTCGTGCAAGTATATTTTTAGAAGGATCAGGAAGCAGGTGATAGAAACAGCCACGGCACCTGAGCCTGCTGATGGTCAGTGCAGGCAATATTGCCTAGATCAGGGTGGGCCAAAGGTTCCCTTCCAGATGCTTCCAGATGCGTATCTGAGCGACAATTTCTATTGCTTTTGCTTGGCTAGGAGTGATGGAAGTTACGTTCCACCAACCTCTGGAAGGCCAAACTTTACTCAGTCCTGAGATGGACAAATTAGACTGACTTGTGGGATTTTGGCCACTGCGCTTTGAGCACGACAGTCTTAAAAAAAAGGAACATTTCCAAATTTTGGAAGAGCGTTTCTAATGCCAAGCAAAACTCTCACCTCTAGTGAGCACTTTGATTGCAACTCTGACTTTGCGTTTCCAAGACCCCTCGTAGACGTCTCCGAAGTATCCAGAACCCAGTTTCCTCATCAGGATAAACTCTTCCTTCGGTCTCTCCCAGTTATCCCAGTGAGGCATCGGCTTTGGCTCTTGCTGGAGTCAACAAGAAATGACAGGAGTTTCACACATTATATAGGTAGAGAGTATCAAATCCCCAGGACGAGACATGGGCACGAACCGCCAGTTCCCACCGGTTCGTTTCTCGGCCAAACAGTGCCCAATCAGAGGCAGCGGTCTGGCTTCCCAGTCCTGCCTCCTCTGGATGCTGCCTCTGATTGGCCGAGAAGTGAACCAACCCAAGGTGATGAATCTCTGGTCTGTGCCTTGTTCTACCCAGGATTATCAATGTGTTTACCCTTGTTCTCCCTCCCTCCCTCCTTTCCCACGGAATTACAGTGACTGTTCCACTTGGAGTTTAGAAACATTCCTTTTTTTAAAAAAAAAAATCGCAATATCTGAGAGCTATAAACCTAAAAATATTTCTAAGCTTTGGTTTCACTATCTGTAAGGGGTAAAGGTTTGCTTAATTGCTCAGCAGTGAAACCACACAGTAGTTAGGACCTATTCATACAAATGTATACTTCCCACATCTCTTAGTAGTAGATCAGTTTAAGGATTATACGATGATCTCAGAGAATAATCCAAACTCTGCCAGCTCAGATCAACCAGCAAAGAGGGGTGAGGGAAGGGGGTAGAACAGAGGAGAAACTAGACTGTGCCAGATAGACATCAGTTTTAGCCCAAAAACACCTGCCCCCATTCAAAAAAGAAGTCAGGCCAGGTGAAGGCAGTCCTAAATCATTTCCAACATTTCCAAAGATGATAGGGGTACAGATTCTGTAAAGGCCCAGCTGGCCGAAGGCTGGCTATCACCGGTCCGTAGCCATGCTGACCACTTAAGATGCTTTTATTCAATATAGCACAGCTACATTTACAACCCTCGTTTTCAGAATTTCTCAGCTCCCAAGCTAGAAGGTGCTTTTGAAAACACATGCAAAGCACGCTCTTGGAAAGGTACTACAGTACAGGTACAAAAAAATATTGTGATACTAAATGCTGGAAAAGTGAGAAGACACAGACTAGCTACGGTAGTTATTTTCTTAGCAGCTGGAAATTCTGGTTAGGCTGGCCAGATTCTAGCTGACTGAGGGTCAAACTGTCCTTCCTTTCCACTTTCCCAAGTATTCCTCTTTCCAGTCTCAAAGGGCAAGTAAAGTACTTCTGCTTGATAAATGAGCACCAGAAAAGCTTACTCGCGGAGATACTTACACAGCCCTGAATTAAGAAGCCCCTTTTGCTTTGACTTTACTAAGTGGCTCAGTCCCAGTGTCTCTTTCATTGTCAGACATAAAAATATTGACTTAACCTACAAGGTTATTTTAAGGATCCCATCTAGAGAATGTGTATGACTTATCTGGACAAGCATAACACAGAATGTTATTGCTGAATTATCATAATTAGCAGTTGGAGCTGGTGCAAATTTAAAAGGTAAAGGTAAAGCTTCCCCTTGACAATTTTTGTCCAGTTGTGTTCGACTCTAGGGGGCGGTGCTCATCCCCGTTTCCAAGCCATAGAGCCAGCGTTTTTGTCCGAAGACAATCTTCCGTGGTCACATGGCCAGTGCGACTGAGACAGGAAACGCTGTTGCCTTCCCACCAAAGTGGTCCCTATTTATCTACTCGCATTTGCATGCTTTCGAACTGCTAGGTTGGCGGGAGCTGGGACAAGCGACGGGAGCTCACTCCGTCGCGTGGATTCGATCTTACGACTGCTTGGTCTTTTGACCCTGCAACACAGGCTTCTGTGGTTTAGCCCGCAGCACCACCACGTCCCTTGGTGCAAATTTAAGCTGTTAGAATTAGAGAACTGAGTTAAAAGTGGCCTATAAAGCCATAGACTCCAACCCCCCTGCTCTGTGCAGGAATCCAGATTAAAGCAGATGTGACAGAGGGTTGTTCAATTTTTCTCTTGAATGCCTCCAGCGTTGGGCGAGCTCCTGAGGCAGTAGGTTCCATCGCCTGCTCCAACAGTTAGGGTGTATTTTCCTGATATTCAGGATAAATCTGGTTTCCTGTAGCTTGAGCCCTTTATTACATGTCCTGCACTCGAGATGATCAAGAACAGATCCTGCCCCTCCTCTGGATGACTAGCTTTCAAGTATTTGAAAAATGCTATCCTATCTCCCCTCAGTCTTCTTTTCTCAAGGGTAAACCTGCCCAGTTCTTTCAGACTTTCCTCCTAGGGCTTGGTTTCCAGCCCCCTAATCATCCCTGTTGCCCTCCTCTAAACTTGTTCCAATTTGTCAGCATCCTTCTTAAAGTGTAGTGTCCAGAACTGGACACTATACTCAAGATGAGGCCTAACCAGTGTGAAATCAAGGGAAACTATTACTTCATACGATCTGTAAACTATATGTATGTCAATCTACAACAATTCCAAGATGATTCATAGTATAACTGAGTCAAGTATCCCCCATCTTGATTCCCCCCACCCCCGGGTGTAGAACTTTGCCCTTATATATCCCTGTTGACTTTCATTTATTTTGCAAGGAGGAGGTGGTTCCCAGCTCAGCACTTACCTTATAGCAAGGGGTCAAAGGTTTCAGCCCATGTGTGAGACCTTTGTCTCTGTAATGCTCAAGGAGGGAGGGTATGTCGGGAAAGGACCGAGAAGGGTTCATGTAGAAATTGCCCTGGGCATTGCGCCAGATCATATAGTGCCTCACCAGTGAGTCATCTCGGACTGTGAAATCACGGAAAAAGAAAGTTGAAAAAATGAGATGGGGAGAGCATCCAAGTCATTACAGGTGCCGAGATCTTCCTGTTCCCGTAAGAGTATGCACTTAAGTAATATAAACAACATCATATAAACTTAATCAACAACAACAAAATTTGCCATGTCATCTGCAGTGTTGGTGCTCGAAAAAGCTTCTACCTAAGTGACTGCCTGGCCCTGGATGAACTTGCCCAGATTTTTGTGACGGGTTCCCTAGGATTTGTTGTCTCCCCTTTTACAGGGATGGTGAAACCACTTTGGGTTTTAGTCCAAACTTTAAAGGAAGTATCCAAAGTTAAATTTGCAGACGACACAAAATTGGGTGGAATAGCTAACACCCTGGAGGACGGAAACAAAATTCAAAATGATCTGGATAGACTGGAGCATTGGGCTGAAAACAACGAAATTTAACAGGGAAAAGTGCAAAGTCCTGCACCTAGGAAAAAGAAGCCAAATACAGGGTTATAAGATGGGGGATACCTGGCTCATCAAAACTATGAGCAAGAAAGATCTTGGGATTGTTGTAAATCACAAGCTAAACATGAGCCAAAAGGGTTATGAGGCTACAAAAAAGGCAAATGCTAGTTTAGGCTGGATTAACAGAAGTATAGTTATCAAAATCCTGCAGGGTGCTAATTCCCTTCTATTCAACACTGGTTAGGCCTCACCTTGAGTACAGTATATTGTTGTCCAGTTCTGGACACCAAATTTCAAAAAGGATGCTGACAAATTGGAACAAGTTCAAAGGAGCATGACAGGGATGATCAGGGGGCTGAAAACCAAGCCTTATGAGGAAAGGCTGAAAGAATTGGGCATATTTAGCCTTGAGAAAAGAAGACTGAGGGGTGATAGAATAGCACTTTTCAAATCCTTGAGAGATAGTCATCCAGAGGATGGGCTGGATCTCTTCTCAACCATTCCCAGAGTGCAGGACACGCAATAATGGGCTCAAGTTACAGGAAGCCACATTTCGATTGAATGTCAGGAAAAACATTCTAACCATTAGAGCAGTAAGATGTTGGAATCCATGACCTCAAGAGGTGGTGAGTGCTCCAACACTGGACATATTCAAGAGAAACTTAGACAACCAGCTGGCTGATTTCCTTTGATTTGTACAGTATGCCTGCATCGAGCAGGAGGTTGGACTTGATAGCCTTATAGGATCCTTCCAGCTTCACTCTTCTTTGATTCTATTATATGATTCTAAGGCGCTGAAGCTATTTTTGGAATGTTTGGACTAAAATGCAGAGTGGGTCTGCTGTCCCTGGAAAACTGGTCAAAATTGGACCGGAGTCAGAACTGGATGGGGCCTCAGAGGGCCCTGATAGGCGGTCTCTAAATTCCTGAAGAAAAGAGAGTGGTAACCACCATCAGCACCTTTTCTGTTGTGGCACCTGATCTTTGAAACTCCTTTCTGAGGAAGGTTTACCCAGCACCATCTGTTTCTCGTTTATTTTGTCCAAACCTTTCGGGATTTTCACCCGTTCAAGCTTTTAGTTCTGTCTTTATTTCATGCTGGATTTTCAATGTGGATTTTATCCTGGACCTGTGTTTCAGCATGTTTTATTCCATGTTTATTCCAAAAGATCTCCTGTCTGGAGAATTAGTGCAGGGAAATCGCCCCAGAGGGAGACTACAGCTGTGATACAAGGAGATCTGCCAGCGGGATCTGAAGGCCTTAGGAAGGGACCTCCACAGATGGGAAACCCTGACATCTGAGCGTTCAGCCTGGAGGCAGGCGGTGCATCACAGCCTCTCCCAATTTGAAGAGACCCTTGTCCAGCAGGCCGAGGCAAAGAGGCCGTCCCGAAACCAGCAAAACCAGGGAGCTGGACAGGGGGCAGATTGTATTTGTCTTCAGTGTGGAAGGGATGGTCACTCTCAAATTGGACTTCGCAGCCACCCGAGATGCGGTTCCAAGTCCTCTATTCAGAGCATGTTACCATAGTCTCTCGAGACTGAAGGATGCTTAAATTCCATGTTTGTGTTCTTGTTTGTCAGCTTCCCCAAGAATCCAAAGTGACCAAGAAGCAGTAGCAATAAATTTAGAGTAAACATGAAAACCAGCAGTGTTTTCTTTTTATCTGCATCTGTTAATCTAAACCCAACGGAAAAGGGAAGAACAGCCTTACCTGACAACACGTACTGAGCTCCCTTTTTCTCGCTGACACGAATCAGGAAGGCCCCAGTTTTATTTTCTTCTGACATCAAGCGGTGTACTGTTTCAGAACGGGACAGCTGCCCAAAAAACCACCTATGGAAGAAGGAGGAAGAAGAGAACATAATGAATGGAGTGGCTGATCTATTCAACCCAGCATTTCCCTGCCCTTAATGGCCATGAGATGCCCGAGCGAGACCCACAAGCCGCCACCTACGGCTGTTTGGTTTGCTAGCAAGTGAATATGGAAGTCCTAATCAATAGCATGACTCCTCAACATATTGATTAAGAATGAACTGGTAGCCCGTTCTTCATGTATCCAAGATGACCATGCCTAAGATGAAGATACCAGCAAGCTTTGGAATACCCCAGTACTTGCATGAATGAAGGGAAGAATAAGAAGTCGTAGAGTGGTAGAACAGCTAGGGAGCACTGAGGATGCTCGGCGACTATAGATCTATTGCACGGAGGGGTCAAAAAAATCCAGGGGATTTAGGACAGAGCATCTTGGAAGAAGCTGTAGCTTACCTGGCTGGCTAGCAACACCCCTTGAACAAGTTACTAATCATGGTGGATGGGAGACAGTGGTTCCCAATGTTTTTTCAAGGTGCAATACTCTTCTATAATAGCCAAGTAGCCTTTGATGCCCTCACCATATTTGCATAAATAGGCTTTTTTTTAAAGAGGTAAAGTCATCCCTTCTCAGAAAGCAGAAGTTTATTTCCTGCTTCCCATAATATGCATACACACTAATTTTAATATCCAGCCCTGAAAGCTAAGGAAGACATTATTTAACAGGAGCTACAGCACCTGGGAGGCAGTGGAAGACAGGAGGGCTCCCGAAAGCCAAGGAAGACATTATTTAACAAGAGCAACAACACTTGTAAGATGACTCACAACCCTCTAGGAAACACTTTGTGACCCTCTCGGGTGTGTGTGTGTCACAGCCCCCAGGTTGGAAAATACTCTTCTAGTTTGCTACTTCTTTCCCTGGGAATCTTCCTGTTCAGAGTCTCTCTGCACTGCAATGTTTAGTTGCAGACATGCCCCAGGGATGGAAAATACTCTTCTAGGAACTGCAGTCTAAAAACTAAGTTTGCTACTTCTTTCCTTGGGATTCTTCCTGTTCAGAGTCTCTCTGCACTGCAATGTTTAGTTGCAGACATGCCCCAGGGAGCCACAATTAATAACCATTGACAGGTGGACACTCCTATAATATGACTTTATAGGAAAATGGAACGTGTGGTGCTCCTTCCTTCTCTAAATGGACCCTAAACCTCTCCTTATATTTTCAAAGAGTCCATGTGGTCAAACGCCTGCTTGTTGGAGTTAAAATCTTTTCAAGTTTTCATTCAAACTCCCAGGGCAACTTACAAGAAAACTGGAAAAAACGAGAAATTGCAGTCTAAATCCAGTTGGTACTCAGCAGGGCTACGGAACAAATGGGACTTGCTTTCCAGAGCATCACTTAAAAAACAACTGCTGTTCAAGACAGCGGAACAGATGCAAGAAAAAGAAGTAAACCTAAAGGGACCTGTGATGGCAGGACTGGAACTCCCATCATCCAGGCTGCCTGGGACTGATGGGGTATAGAGTCCAACAACAGCTGGAGGCTTTAAGTAGACAATCCTGATGATTAAAAGTCTTGGGTAAGTCAAAATGGTTCTACGTGGCAGCAAAATTGTATCAGAGGCAGCATCAAGAAAGCCTCACAGAGAAAGGTGTTTGACAGATATGGTATCTGACTGGCAAGGTGGTAGGAGGTCAAGGGGAAGGCCTCCAAAGGTGGTTCACCAAATTCCCAAGAATCTAGTTTCTAAGCAGTCTAGGAATGCATAGAATCAACTTGAGGGACCACAACAGCAACAGTAGCATTTTGATAAATACTTCCAAGGTGCAATATCAAAACCGGACACTAGGGGAGGCCAGATATTTTTTCTAGCAATATATCAGCTAACGTAATGAATTACAGTACTAGTGGAATCAGAGCAATGCCAGTAGTAGCTGCAAACTAGTGACAGGGGAGAAATGAGTAATACAATGGGTCTTTGTGTTATGGCGTCATAAGGGACCTCTTCTACAGGTGGAACTTGGAAAAATGCCTCCTCGGATTATCTTTATGCAATTCTCCAACAGCGTCCGCTTCGCAGAGAAGATTCGGATTATTCTCCTATGCATACAGTGTAAATTCTTGCATATGGGAGTAGACTGGAAAATGCTTTGTTGCTAGCATTGAAGAATTTTTAGAATCCCTCTTGGCTTGTAGAAATTAAATCTCCGAATGAGGAAGGATCCGCTTCTTCTCAAGAGGGTGGATGGGTGGGAAGAGAGCAAGACGCCATGAAGTGGACGACATCTGTATGAGCAGGCATTGCTTTTCTCTGTCTTGGGTGACCGCTTGCCCCAGCTGAAATTCCTTCCTCAACCCAAAAGCTAAATCAAATTTCTGTCCCTCTGTGCCTGCCTTTTGGATGATGGGTCATGCAGGATGAACGGAAGCAATGGGCACTGTAGTCTAGCTAGCTGAAGGCTGAACTCACCTGCGCCTGCCTTTTGGATGATGGGTAATGTCATGCAAGACGAATGGAAGTACCATGGGCTTTGTAGTCTAGCTAGCTGAAGGCTGAACTCAGTGAACAGAACCAACACATTTATTTGGCACCTAGTCAGCAACAGCATAAGAACAGCATGCCACAGTTTAAATTAATAAAAATTGTGAATAGCATTTTATCTTTTAACAGAGATGGGCATCATGAGAGTGCTAATCCCCCTACCAGTTCTGGTCTGGGGTGCTCTTGTGCCTCTTAACAACAACTTAACCTGCAGAAATCAGCAGATGGAATGTTTTCGCAGTTTGGAGAGGAACTCAGTTGTGGTTACTTTTCTGCACCGGCATTCAAGGCATAGTTACAAGCTAAAAAAGTTGAGAGGAGGGCTTGAGCCTGGAAGCTTAGTGGTGTGCAACCCATAATACTCCTCTCTCTGTTTGTGTGGATGCCGTAAACAGTTCTCCTTCCCAAGTTACAATGCTTAAAAGCCCTGTTTATCTAGTTGGGAAACAATAGGCTCTCCAATGTTCAAATTTGGTGGTGTAGGAATGGAAACCAATCACATTCATTTTAAAGCAGAGCATGTTTTGCTTTTGGTGAGGGGGGGGGAAAGGTGTACACCTTGTTTCTGCCTTATACACCTTGTTTCTAAGGTGGCCAGTGATTTGGAGTGGTAGTGATGACCCCAAGTGGGTTCAGGGCACATGCCAGGGTGCCCCTCCAAACCCAGGAAGTTGCCCACTCCTGGTCTAGGGGCATCAACCCATATTATCATTTAGAGCATCACTCTTTATCCTTTTACCCTGTGCAGACACTTTGGTTCCCGTGCCTGAAATCCCAGGAATTCCCCTTCCTAAGTCCATAAGCTTTCTAAAACTGGTTTCAAATCAAGTTTCTAGTCCCTTTGGTCAGGAAAACAAGCACAGGGTACAGTAATCTCTCAGAAGTGCAAGGCAAAAGGATGAAGTTTTCTCTCGTGAAAATACAATCTGCTCGTAAGCTTTGCTGCCCTTCCAAAGACCAGCCGAAATGTGTCTGGACTTAACCCGCACATGAAATTCAATGAAATTTTATTCTCAAAGAATTCAGCAAGCTGAGGATTAAGTACAGAGAAGTTCTCTATTATTAATATTTTACCCACCTAGTAAACAGTACTTACGGTTCTGTCTCCATAGACTCTTTTTTGGCTAAGTAGTTGAAGGGGACATAGCCTTCCGCGACACACCTACCAGAGGGATCCAGCTTCCTAGCCCAATACCATTCTTCGTTCTTCTCAACCACCTGGAAAAGGTCTCCTGCTTGGAAACTTAATTCGTTCTCCGTCATACCTTTAAAATCCCACATACTGATGTAAACCCCGTTTTTGAGTCTTGGAGGTGGTTTCGGTTTGGAATTCATGATGTCAAGTCAAAAGAAGTCAAGTCCAAACAATGGGCTAGGTGGAAAAATATTTTCTCTTTCTGAATTTTTTTTTTTAAAAAAAATCACCACCACCACTTCCCAGGCAGAAAACCAGTCAGGGGTTCGCCTCCGTTGCAGCCTCTCCTGACGCAAATCCCGGAAAGTCTTTGTAACAACTCGGCCGAGGTGTCTTATCACTGGTGCCAGATCAGAAAGAGGCTGCCAGGAGGAGACTTTGCGAGAAAAGGCTTCTCTACTTCCTTTTTATGAGATTGCAATCATAATATATCCCAGCCCCACCCTGGGGTTGCTCCTTAAACAGACAGTGGGAGGGGGAAAAAAGGGAAGGAGGTGGTGGCAGCCGAAATGATGTGAAATCTCCACGACAACTTTGGAGGTCTGGCTGATGGGATCCCTGACTACTCGTCATGCCGGGTATATGTTCCTCTAACACGGGAGACAACATGCCTCTTGTAGATCTCTCACTGGTAGAGCACAAGGAAGTAGAGAGGTGCTATCTGTCGTACCTGTGCACCTATCAGTGTAGTGACGTGAAACAGAGAACAGGGCTCCTGGGCCTTTAATACTTGTAAGGAAAAAAGATTTTCAGCAGGTATTATGGCTTGCATGACCAACTTCACCTGATGGGGGGGGGAACTCTCTTCTTCCTCTTTTGGACTACAGTTCCCAAAATCTCTCATCAAACAGGAAACATTTTCCATTTCTGGATTAAAGGTGCATGATCTGAGTCCTGTTTTCCATTTTCCCCACTCTACCTGTATGGGCTGTTGGCAAGTCTTTGAGTCCCAGAAATCCCCGAGTCGACTTAAGTCCAAATTGACAGCGAGTCGTGTGACGGTAAGCGCCCAGCTTCTCACTGTAAACAAAACTTCAGCCTTGGGTAACTAGGTGGCAAACAGAGGAGGGTTCCCACACCTCTCATAATTTCTGCTTCTCCCATAAAACTAAAATTGTTCAGATACTGACAAGAGGGCATCTCAGTAGATGCACGTACTGAAATGTCCACCTCTATATACCTATTAAAGGTTCAGTTCCTCTATCCTCTTTTTAACCCGCTCCATGGCTTTAGATGTGGTGTGCAGTAAATTATGACCGAGGGGTAGGTCCTTCCCAATACATATTCACTTAGTTTCTTCTGGTTCTTTCTAAGTGAGTTTTAAAGATTTTAAAACGAAGATTTCTAAGAAACGCTTTAAAGACTCATTTTATCTTTTAATGAAAAGGTGTTCTTGAACTGTACTTACACTGCGTTGCCTTTTTACATGATGGCTAAAATCCTCTTGCATATCTATCGAAATTGTGTAACTTTGAGAAGAAAATTGCCCCCAGCTAGGACATCGCTGTAGACATTATCAGTTGCACATGGAATCCCACAGCTCGGTGTACAACATATAAGGTCGACGGTGATTTCTTAAGTTATGGCAATTCATCTCCCAAAGTTATGCCATGTGTTTCACCCCAGTAAAACTAGGAAAGTGGATTTGGGCCTATGCTTTTTCAAATGGTTCTCCTCTCAGGCAATTGTATTATTTCTTGATGCTGAATTTTCTAAGTAAATCCCAATGGGAAGACTACATTCTGCACAGTTTGCTTAAGAAATATATTATGATGGATATATTAATCATTATTTCTCTGAGTGTTTTTCAGTATGCAGGGGTTCTGACTCCTGAATTAAAAAAAAAACCCTGCCAGAATACAGTTGTGCCTCGCTAGACAATGATAATCCATTCCACTGAAAGAGCTGTTTAGCGAAATCATTGTCTAGCGAAAAACATTTCCCTATTGGAATGCATTGAAACCTGTTTAATGTGTTCCAGTGGGGAAGAATCGTCATTGTCTAGCGAAGATCGGCCATAGGAAAGTTGCTTTGTGAACCGCCAATCAGTTGTTTAAATAGCTGTCTTGCGAAGTTTTGGTCCCTAAAACACCCGTTTTGCGAGCGCGGAGGGAGCTGTCAAAATCGTTGTCTAGCGAAAATTGGTTTGCGAAGCAGGGACCAAACATTGTCCAGTGAAATTCCCCCACAGGAATCACTGTTTTGCGAATCGCTATAGCGATCGCAAAAAGTCAATGTCTAGCGAAAAAACTGTCATGCGGGGTAACTGTCTAGCGAGGCACCACTGTAATTACAAGAAGGAAGAGAAAACAGTTTGAGGAGAAAAAACAGGATTGGCTTTGCATGTGACAGGACTGGAATGTGCAAAACCAGTTCTACTGCCAAAACCATTCTCCTGAGCTGAGTAATCACTCTCAGAGCTACAATATTCTTGTTGTATTTACGCAGCTTTAGTCATCCCGCATCTAGGTAATTCCTTTGGTCTATTTATTTATATCTTATAATGCAAATATATGTTTTGTTCTTTCAGCCAAACTACAGAGAGCTGATAGAGAAGATTCTTTCACGGCTTCAAACTTTTTGCTTTGTTTCTAAATCTGTGTGCATACCTTTTTACCTGTGGTTGATAATGTTACGACTGTGATGAAGCAACAATAACAGAGAAAAGAGAGATGGAAATCTAGAGCAGTGGTTCTCAGACTGGAGTAACCCAGATGTTTTTGGACTGCAACTCCCAGAAGCCTTCACCACTAGCTTTGTTGGCCAGGATTTCTGGGACCTGCAGTCCAAGAAGCAGTTGGGGACCCCAGTTTGAGAACCACTGCTCTAGAGAACCCGAAATCTGTCCATCCATGGTTCAGCGTTAAACATTTCTTGCAAGTTCCTGATGAGGATTCATGATGACTTCTCTCCGCATATACCCTTCCTGCAATCTTATTCATTGGTTTGCGAGTATTTTCCAGAGAAGTAGCCTTATTCGTCTGTCTCAACATGTTGGCAAAGTTAAAGGGGACAAGGGCAAAAACAGAGAGAGACAGAGGAAGGCAAAATATCGTGGCATTTAGTTTCAGTGTGAGTTTTTGGGATTTCATGTCCACAGACTGAAAATACGAGGTCCTCTGTATTTACACATATCTCCATGATTAAGTGAGAAGGATATGGATAATTGCAAAGGGGCAATGGCTCATTAACACAGGAATCAAACTTTTTAATTAGTTGAATCAGCAGGTCCTGGCCAAGCTGATAAACTGCATGCCAGTTAGACTCTGTAGTCAAGAAGTTGCTAAGAATCTTTCCTGGGTCAGAAGTCAGATTACGTTAAGGGAGACCGCTATTTTACAGCGATAAGGGAGTGCAGAATTGTGACTTATTAATAGGTGTAGTGTGCTAAAAACCCTTGGTCCCTATCTAGGCCCTCGGAGATACACTGGAACTTTTTTATGAAGCCAGCTCATCTCAGTGCCTGGATGGCCAGGTATCGGCAGTGGCAAGGAGTGCATTTGCACAGTTAAAACTAGTGTGCCCGTTGAACCTGTTCCTGGAGCCGTCTGATCTGGCCAAGTGACGATGCCTTAATTGCATCCAGGCTGGATTACTGTAACACCCTCTACGCTGGGCTGCCTTTGGAAAGTGTTCAGAAACTCTGGTGGGTCCAAAACACAACAGCCAGGTTGCTCACTGGGGCTGATCACAGGGATCACATAACCACCCTGTTACAGCAGCTCTACTGGCTGCCAATCCATTTCCAGACAGAATTCAAAATGCGGATTTTAACCCATAGAGCCCTAAGCATCTCAAGGACCACATCTCCCTTTAAAAGCCTGCCTGGGAGTTTAACGACATCAGGGGAGGCCTTTCTCTTGGTCCCACCACCCTCCCAAATGCATTTGGTGGGGACACGGCAAAGGGCGCTCTCTGTGGCTGCTCCTGGACTGTGGAACTCCCTCCCACTGGAGGCCTGCCTGGCCCCATCTTGGCTGTCCTTCCCCAAGCAGGCAAAGACTTTTCTTTTCAGGCAAGCCTTCCCTGAGTGCTGGTCTATCTGGTTGCATTGTGTACACAAATGGAGCGTTGTGCCTTGTTGCTTTGAATCTGTTTCTGGTGTTGATTCTGTTCACCATTTTGAGTGTGGTATTTGTTTGATTCTTTTAATATTTAATATTTGCACACTTACTGTTTTGAGCTTTTAAACACCGCCTTTTAATGATGCAAGCTGGGTCCTTTTTAGGAGAATGGGGTTTGTTTAAAAACATTTTAAATCAATCGATCAACAGATGTCTTCTGTCTTCCTCTCCAGTTTCCCTTTGTAATAAGCCCCCACCCACCCTAACTTGTTAGTGTCTTACTTTTCTATCCAGCCCATCCTTTAAGAACCTCAAGGCAGTGTTGGGGGCTCTCCCCAAATTAATACCCCCCCAGGTCACTCACACTTCCAAGGGGATTTGAATCTGCCTCTTCCCATCTGTATGTCAACATCCTAACCCACTCGGGGAAACCTCCCACTCAGGATTCCTCCACAGCTGTTCTCAATTCGACTCCGCTTGCTCTTTTCTTCCCTCCCCCTCCTCACTTTAAGAATGAATGAATGAAAACCTTTGTCCATTGAATCCCCCCGCCCTCCAACTTTCCCTTGATTGGCATATCTGGAAGCCAATGGAAAACCCAAGCGTGCTCAACCTGCTTCTTTGGCACAGTTTCTTTATTTCTTTTTTTTTGGGGGGGGAGGATTATTATTTTTAATGTACTGTATATTTTTATTTTCCTTGTAGAGTAAGGTGAGGGGCAGCTGGGATAGAGATACCCAGGGAAGGGGTGGATTTGGATGCATTACAAATCAGTATTTTTCATGGTCATTCTATACATTCTCTTCTAGTAACAGTTGCAGAGTTTCTTGTCCGTCTGCACCAGCAGGAAAAGTCACTCAAGGCTTAGGAAAATGCAGACGGTGCCTCCCCCCGCAGTGATGGAGTCAGCTGGTAACTCTGATTTAACCCTTTGCGAGGCGCGAAAGAGCCATCATCCTCTCCTCAATAGCCTTCAATGACCCCTACCCACCCCACTCAGCGTCGTCCTTCCCCCCTCCCGCTGCTTTTCCCTGCGCACGGGGAAAAACCTGGCGCGGAGCTCCGGAGCGGTTCTCGGGGGACGGAAGGATTCCGCTCCGGTGAGGGGCCGATCCGGGGAGGTGGACACAGCTGCNCTGGCGCGGCTCCGGAGCGGGTCTCGGGGGACAGAAGGATTCCGCTCCGGTGAGGTGCCGATCCGGGGAGGTGGACAAAGCTGCCCCCCCCAAA